TTCGTTTCATGCCTTATGCAGAGGCTTTTTTATTTGTCTTCATTTCTTTCTTAAATTTCAGCCTAGCAAATAACAGGTTTTTCACCATTATCCTGTTATCAATAGCATCTGGACATTTGGGTGAGGATGTTCAGAGCTGGTCTGGTCAGGACAGGGTTAATTCCAGCTGCTGTCCCTTGTACAGTGTTATCACTGCTGCCATACTCTGAAGCTGAAGGATTTGAGGATTTTTTTCGTTCTGCCCCAGAAATGTTCCTATTCAGAGAAGAATCAACCATAACATAAAAAACATTAAAATATTTTGGAAATAAACTGTGAAGTCTGCAAAACAAAGACTAAAAATCGACTACACTTTATCTCTCCTTTACTTGCTTTCATGAAGCGTTTTGGAAAAGATCCTGATTTCAGTTTTGAGCTAGGGACAAGCCCCATATACAAATTTTCTACATTCCTTTGCACAGCTTGACAAGAGAAACTGAATCCTAGGGACACAGCAAGTTAAATGATATTTCACATCATGGGACTACTTTTCCCACTTAATTTGTTCATGTTGAATAAGAAGAGTAATTTTCAGACATTAAATATAAATTAAATCATGATTGGTAGTAAAACCAGCTTGATCTCATCATAAATATGCATTGACCTAAGTGAAAATGATTAGAAGATAAAATGATTCTTAAAAATATAAGTGTCTGATGTTACAGAACACATTATACTGGGAAACAGCGACCAGATAACAAGATATTAGGTTTCTCGAACTGAAGAGGATTACAAAAAATAAAGCAAAACTAATTTTTTAAGTGATCATTCCCTAAAAGTGGGTCAGAAAATGCTGCCTCCCTTTGTGAGCAGTTACTAAAACCAAGAAAATCCTTCCTGATAAGGAAGTATTTAACAGGATTTCATAGGAGAGATAAGCACACCAGAAGACATTAAGTTATAATTAGGAATACTCATTGATTTACTCTATTCAAACCACCAAGGGCTGGTCAAGACTGTTCAAAATACTTGATAAAATCACAAAGATCTCCCAAGTATGTAGTTTCCCACATAATTTCGTATGAGAAGAGCAGGATCTGAGGTGGACACAACCAGCTTTGTGATAAACCCAGCAGCCTTTCTGTGGTCCTTTCAGTGTCAGGAGATGTTTGTGTTTCCAGGTTGGAGTTTGCTGCTGCTTCCTCAGGCGTGAGGATGATCTCAATGAGGTCAGCCGGAACCAGCTTGGATTGGTTTCAAAAGCCAGCATGAAGGAGGATGAAGTGTTCTTTCCAGGGAGATGAGGGGCAACATGCCCCTGATCAGAGCACTGATGCTTTGCCTTTGGGCTCTTTGTTTTCTAACTGTAGGGTTGGAAGCCTCCCTGCCAAGAGAGGTTGTGCAGTCTCCATCTTTGGAGCTTTTCAAGACCTAACAGGATAAAGCCCTGAGTAACCCACCTTGGTCCCACAGCTGATGCTGCTTTTAGCAGCAGATTGGACTATAAGACCCTTCAACCTGAGTTATTCTATTATTTTCATCCATTTTACACTTATCATCTTTGGCTTTCTTCAGATATCAAACTGAGAAAGACTAGGCTTGAAAGTTAATTTGCATAAAGCATGGCCAGAAAAAAAAAAGTGAGTTTAACTGCTTTGTAGGACTGAGACATAGGACCCAGCCAGAAAGAAGTAAAAAATCGCTGTACGAGATGATAGCTCTGCAAAGAAAAATTATTAAAAGGCTGAGCAATTACAAGTCTTTTGAAATACATATCACAGGCCTATATGTGTTTGCAAAACAAACTGAAACTGCAAAATAACTACTGAGACACTTTTCAAGCACTACAGCCTCCAGTGTCCTGCAGAACAAGAGCCAAGATGGCTTTTGGGCACAGCCTGCCCTGGCTGCAGGTTATATATCATAGAGTCTGAGCTGCTCCTTCATGTCTCCTTCAGACATCTCTCCAAACGTGTCACTTTTTTCCTTCATCAGTCTGAAGATGGCAGCCAGCTGCTCTCTCTGAACCCTGTCAAGAAGAAAAGGAGAAGTAGGAATAGCTGGTCCAGGAGCAAGAACCACTGTCAAATGAAACACAGAGCCAAAGGCAGGTCACTGTACAAACCTTACTGGCTGCAGGAAATCTGTGCCTGTGAGATAAGGCAGGGACAGCCTCTGGTTCTCCTTCCTCCCCCTTCCCCTCTATCCCATCCTCCTGCACGTCTCTCTGCAGCTCCCTAAACGTGGAGATAAACCAGCCTGCTTTTACACTGGCTTTGGAGCTCCTTAGGGCTTATCTATGCTCAAACTTTCAAGATAACTCAACATGTGGAATTCTATAAGACCAACATGTCCCAATTTATCAGAGTCCATAACGAACCTGAATTAAGATTCAACAGCCCAGTGTGCTTTCCTTCTGTAATATGAGGATGTAGATACATAGTAATTCAGGAATAGCTATTAAATTTTAAATGCATATCCTAACTTAAAACTAGAGAGCAGGCTGCCTCCCAGCATGGACATGACTTTAATCAGCCACTGGAAGATAAGATCATGGATAGGAATTTGCTTTGATTCGAGTTTGTCTGCCAATGTCCACTGGTGAGATAGACTCAGGTAGCCAGTCCAGCAGTGAGGTGGTCCCTGTGTAGGCAGAGGCTGACCAGTGGACCATCTAGCTCAGATTTTTAATCCTCAGGCAGTTCCACAGTAGATGATTAACACCCTTCTCCCCCTAACAGAAGATATCTTGATTTATCCCTACCCTGAACCAGTTAACCATTGTACATCCCATGAAGATTGATATCTGTGACAGGGCTTTATTTATAGCAGGACTTACACTGCTCATCGCTGAGGGATACAGGAGGGTGGGCAGCACAGGAGTGCCATTTGTTTGCAGGTAGCTCATGAACTGATAACTCTGCAAAATTCCCTTTTGGGGCAAGATGAATATGCACGTGGCTCCAGGCAGGGCTGGCTGAGGGATGGAATGTTCCCAGTGCCAGACTCCAACCTGACTGGGATCAGGCTGCTCTATTGCCTAGCACATCTCATTCTGACATGTGGGACATGGAAAGAACTAATGGGGATTTATAATGGTGCTTTATGGCTCTAACAAGGCAGATGTAGTTCCTGGTACTTCAAGGCTCATTTTGTCCCTGCATGAGTGTGAGGCTGGAACTCAGTGACAGCTCAGAGCACAGACCTGCCACAATCCCAGCTCCTCCTGCTTGTCCAGCACCCTTAGACCTCCCGTGGGCTAAAACCACAGAATCTGCCTTTTACTCCCTGTCAGGAGTCCTCTTTCCTGCCACAAGCAGCTTCCCACACAGGACTTTAAACCATTTAATTAATCCATTTAAATGCAAGCCACTGAATAACCTGGGGTAGTCTTCCTGCAAGGCCTGTATGGATGAGCTATCAGCTATTCCAGTAACAGGAGGGGCAGTAATAACTATTGACAGGCAAAAACAGGGCACAATCTTTGCTTGAAAGAAAGGACAGCATCAACCCACCAGCAGCCTCCACACCACGAACAAGACCAGAGGAAGACAGTCAGGAAGGAGCAGAGGAACCTTCTTCCCGTGCTCCTGAGCTCCTGCTCTGCATTTTCCCCTCTCCTGAGCTAAGCCCCAGCAGAAGCACGAACAGCAGCCTGTCCTCTCAGCACTGCTGAAGCAAATAGAGCAGGAAAAAAAGCAGATCCTGGCTAAAGCAAGCTCATTTGCCAGTTCCTTTGTATTGCAATTAAAATGCAATGGTCCTACAGCCAAACATCCTGATAATGATGTGGGATCTTTCGCCTGTGGAAGCCTGGATTTGTCTGTCTCTTCTGTAATGTTTTATGCTCACAGGAAGAGCATCCAGCTGCCCTTTCCAGACGAGAGGATGGGAAGCAGGGTCATGAGTGATCAATATTTTATTTTAGATCACCACTGGGCACCAGAAGGCACGTTGCCAGTCTGGCGTGGAGAAATTCAATACACAGCTTGGCCTCGTGTGTCTGCAGTGCATCCCAGCTGGGAGTGCTCACACAGGTCTGCATCCCTCATTCCTTATTTCACAGACATCAGCGCTGCTGAAACCTCCCCAAAGGCCCATTTTCTTGTCTCCAAAATCAGGATCACAGACAATAGTCACTCTCTTTTTCTGAAGCACAACATCAATGCATTTTGGCTCTCCCCTCAACTTTAAATATTATGACTGTGCACTTGGAAAATAGATAAAAAAGAGCTGCTACTTCTCTGCACTACATAATCTACTACAAAGGGACAGCAAAACAAAGATAAAGAGAGAAAAGAGCCTGGGAAGGAAGAGTAAGGCACTACAAACATGAAAGTGTCTTTGAAGAGGAGCTTCTCCTATCAGAGGTGACCTTGCTAAACAACCTTGTAGTGCTCCAGCTTGGTTTGGGTTTTGGGTATTTTTTTGGATGAGTTCAGATCAAACATTCCCCATTCACAAATAAAATCATTCTCTCTTCTCATAAATGCTGTCATCAAAACTACTTTGATTCTGGAGGTCAAGAAGGATTTTACTTATTGCTAACAAAATAGATTAATTAAGGATTTTCGAAGCAGCCTAATTCTTCTTCATAGACAATTACATTTGCATACTTAGCTCCCTTAGGCTCTTTTTAGACATTTCAGTCCAAGACTTTTACAGTTAGCTGGAGGCCTGGGGCAGTGAGCCATAGGTATGTTAGAGATCTGGGGTTTAGGAACTGCTAAGCACCCGTGTCCACAGCAGCTGAAATCCTGGGCAGAGCTCTGCATTGGGAATGTTGTTAATTGCTCTGCAGCCAAACCAGGATCCTGCTGCAACTCTGTATTGCTTCATCAGAAAAAAGGGGAATATCCCTGATTTTCCTTCTGATCATTTATGGGAATGTAATCATTTATGGGATAAAAGTTACAGAGGGCAGAATGTACCTTTAACCTAAAATCCAGATTTTCAACACAAATCTCTTGAGGAAGAAGTTAAAAGCTGCTGGAGGTAGCGAGAACAAGCACAAACCAAACAAACTATTCAAAGGTTTATTGGACCAAACAAAGGCAATTTTTACAGATTCAAGCCACTAGAATTACAGTCCTTTGTATAAGAGCCACCATCAGATACAAAACAAACAAAAACAAACAAAAGTAAAAAATACCCAGACAGCCATTTGAGTTGAAGAAAGAGTTTGACTTGCTGCCACTAGCAAAAATCTGGACTTAACTACTGACTTTGCTGGATGTACATATTGCCATGTAACTTAAACACAACGGATATAAGGCATTCTTTGCATAGTTGGGTGCTTGGGACACAGTCAGCCAGCCAGCACCGAGGGGGGACAGCGGCTGTACCAGCGGGATGTTGAAGCAGAGGGTCCAGATGTGCCTAAATTCATATGCAAACCACTGAACACGCTTGCAGTTGTCGGCTGGGAAGGGGCAGCCCAGCCTCTTCTAAAGCTGAAGCCTCCTGCTGTTCTTTAAATGAGCCTGTTTATGAAGAATTGCCAACCCCAGGCGCTGGAAAGGACAACTGTGTACAAGGTTTCAAGTATTGTCTGCATAGGAATTAAAAGGGAGGAAAAAAAGCAGCCAGTTGGGTTCCTGATATGTTTGCAGCATTAGCCAAGAGGCAGTGACAGAGAAGCTTTGGAGGACACATCCCCACCCAGCCTGGTGTTTCTATAACATCACTAAAGGACTTGGACCCTTTTCTCTCTCTCAAAAACCAGCTGGGTTTGACTTAAAACCGAGTATGTGCCCAGCCAAATTAATCTGCTCTGTGTGACAGAGCCGAGGGGCAGCACTGAGCTCTGGCTCCCATGGACCAGCACTGGAACAGCAAACAGGCAGAGGAATGGGGAGTGTGCCCCTCCCAGGACCTCATCCTGAGCCAGAGGGAGCCCCTGATGCCAGAGCTGCCTCCTTGGGTCTCTCCTCTTGGGAGCTGGAGTAGGGAAAAGTGAGGATGCAGATAATAACAGCAGCCAAAGTGTGGTCTCTCCACTGCAAGCAGAACAGCTAAACAATCAAACTTCATCACTTCTTGAGCCTCCTGTCTACCTACAGAATCAGCTCTCTGCTAAAATGACTACAGAAGCAAGATTTGAGTCAGCCCAGCCATGGTCTGCCATCCCTCACACGGACCCCACTTTGTCCCCTCCACCCCTCGGAGTAAAGCAGCTTTGTACAGCACTGGAAATCACAGGCAGTTACCACCCCCCAGCAATAAAGAGGCATTTGGCCCCAGGACAAAACAACTTGAGATTCTGCTACAAGGTCCCAGCTGGTCTGAGAGCAGAGCTATGGTTTGCCCACCCCAGGAAAGGAACAATGTGAATTTCATGGCCTAATATATGTAACAAACACAACTAATAGACTCATTGCATATTCTGTGTTCACTTTGGGTTTTGTTTGGGGGAGAGGGAGGAAGGTTCTTCCCAGTCCCCCAAACACAACTCAGGTCACTGCTTGGGCCCAGCCCCAGTCCATGGAGCCACACAACAGGATATCCTCAAACTTGACAGGAGTTTTTGAAGAACTCAACTTCAGACCAAGAGGGGATCCCAAGTTTTGAGGGTTTATGGATTTCTCTTATGGGTGTGTTTGGTTGGTTTTGGTATTTCTCTCAAGCCTTTAATGATGCCAAGGGATGCCTTTAGGAGGAGGCTAGGGACAACTTCATATAGTCTTCAGGTCTGCAAAGAGAAACAGGGAGAGAAATCATTTCAGTCATTTCACCCCTCAGCTTGGTTCATTATTATTCACATAAACGAGCAGGGAGAGCTCTCAGTGTGAGTGTTGGGGGGAAGGCAAGGCAGCTTCCCCCTCAGGGCAGGACAAGCTGCTGTTTGCAATCCTCATGCCTCTAAGTAGGACTTTGCTTCATCTATTGCAGCAGGATAGTCGAAACCCAATAGGAAGTGCAAATCCTCTTGTCTGGCACCAAGCTAAGTTACAACTCTTCTGAGCTACTAATAAATAGTGGAGAAGCCAAACTAATTAACTCCAGGGGTTACTGCCTCAGTGTCCTGTGCAGAGCCCCCGGGGGCTGCTGGCACCCTTGAATCTGGCAGCCCAGATTCCTTTTCCCACCTGTAGGCAGATGAGCCAGGAACAAGTGCTGATTTCACAGGGTGGTGTGCCTGAACTGCTTGACCATTCTCAGTCTTTCTACAGATGAGTCTGTTCGAGGGAAGGAGGAAAAATCCCTTCAGGTCACTTCCTTTTTGAAGGAAAGGTCTCCCAGTGTCCCAAGGAAGGAGAGTGAGATGTGTTTAATGTGTGGGGACATCCAGGCACTCCCTCCACATCTCATTAGCAGAGCCAGGGTCTAAAAAATGTGATTCCTTGTTCTTCCAGACACTCTGCCCATACTGGCCCAGCATCTCTCATGAGTGAACCATCCACATCAGGAAACACCCAACAGAAGGCTGGACAGCTGCCCATGGACACTGAGACCTGCACTGCAGTAGAGGGAAGCTACAACACACATCACCTACCCTACAAACACATAGAGGCACCCCCAGCCTCATTGCTCCCGGATTCAATAGGGTTCATAACACCTGAGCCACATTTGGAAGTCCCCTACTCCTGCCAGGGTGAGGAACAGCCTCATTTCTTAATCGCTCTTCTGCAAAATCTTGCCTTCTCCAGCAGCCCTCTGAGCACAGCCAGTGACCCGGATCCCGGGTGGGAGGTGCTGGGGAAGCATCACGAGGGACTGGGGTTACTGGAGAGACGTTCCAAGGCTCAGTGGCCACCCCGTTAGGACAAAGAAAGGAAATTTTCCGGGGTGGATAATCACCGTGCGGGATTCGCGGTGCTCAGGAGAGGATCATCCCGCTCAAGTCACGCAAGCATAATCAGATTTCACGTGTGAGGGCATAAGCTCGTTGCCATGGGGGCCCAGGAGGGGAGGGCCCCTCCAGTGTGGCACAGTTGGAGTGGGGAGGGATGGGGGACACGGGGAGGGTGGATGAGTCCCTCACAGGGATGCTCATCTCCACAGGGCCAGGCTGACAGCTGGCGTGAGATCTCAAAACCAGCATGACTCTAATGGAGGATGTACATCAGAGCCAGAAATTCCCATCTGCACAAGAGGGATAGCCCTTTCTGCTCCTGGAGCAAGCTGTGAGGGGAATTGGACTAAAGAGCATGAGACAGTCTCTCTCTGGGACTTTGGGGCCAACCCCCAGGCTGAGAAGCTCTGGCATTTCAGACACGGAACTTGAAAGTCTTAATTAGCTTGGGATGAAGGCCCAGAGATCTGAACCACTGCTTATCCTTGGCTCTTCCCTCCTTTCCAGTCTCCTTGGAACTCCCCAGTAGTTCATCAACCAAACCAGGTTAGGGTCATCTTTTGCCAGAAGCTGTATCCTTTCTTCAGATAAAGATTATCCAGGCATTTCTTTTCCTGCCCAAGCCAATGGCCAAGTCACTGAATCACCTGATTTCTCAGCTGGACATGGTTCTGTGCAAGGAAAAGCTGGAGAACAAGGAGCCCGGATAAAAGCAGGTCCTGGAATATGAGGGCAGCTCAGGAACTGAAGTCTCAAAGCATGGAAACTGCCTGTCCCTCTGGTGGCCTCAGGAGCAATTCCTTCACTCCAGTTCACCCCCAGCACTGACACGAGGCTTCTTGCTTTTGAGAGAAGACAGCACCTCAGCTCTGAAAAGCTGAGGGGTTACTGGCATTCCCATGAGCATCTCTCTCTCACATGTGCAAAAATCCGCAGCAGGTCAGGAAATCTGTAGCCCATTCATAGGCTTCAGCTTTCCAAAGGAATCCTGACTCACTCTAAGGAGAGCCCAGAGCATCCTACTGTGACCATGTGTGGTAACTGCTTGTGCCCTTTTCAGGAACAGTTTCTCTCAAAAAATTATTTTCAGAAGCACAGAGCATTCCCAGCTCTTTTCCCTGGCTCAGGACCTTGTCAGGACCATCAGTCCTCTGCACTGAAATCCTGGCAAGGAAGGTGCACAGTAACCTGGCTCCAGACTCTTCTCACTTCAAACTAGGATTAACCCTTGAGGAGGAAGAGCAGGGAATAAAAGCCCTTAGTGCTGGGCAGACCTGGGAATGAGTGCTTGAGATCTCCCCTGGAAGTTCCCTCCCATCTCACTGCTGGGGATGGTCCCTGTTTCTTTACCATGGGAGCAACAACCATCTCCTTTCTGGTGTGACTATAACCCAGTCTTGAGGTATTGCAGGAAGAATATGAGGAATGACAGACTAATTCTAAGCTTTCCTGGTGGTCCCAAAACTGTGAGCCAGTTGCTTCAGCCAATCAGCAACACACAGAGAGGACTTAAATGTAGAACAGGGAGACAGTGCTTAGAACAGAGAAAAGAGATTGAGTGAGAGGTGCCAAAAGGAGCTTCATCAACACAAATCTGAAATTCCTCCACTGAGACAGAGAAGTTGAAAGGTGCACTGGGCTTTGGGAAATACCTACTATGCCTCGAGGCTGCCAGAACCAGTGTGACCAGGGAGCACAAGTCTCATTGGCTTTAGGACAGGGGCTGGTGAGGAGTCAGTGGGATCAGGGGCTGTATCACCCCAGCAGACCTTGCCCACAACTGTTTTGGGGCAGAAGCTTCCCACATTTCCCAGCCAGAGCAGCAACAGCTGACAAGGCCAGAGCACAGCCAGGAAGGTGGCTTGGGCTCCTGAGCAGCTCATCCCCCAGTCGTGTGCCCATTCCCTGGCACACTCATTCCTGACCACCCCAGCCAACACCACAGCAGTGGGAAAAGCTGGGAACAGGCTGGGCTGTGCTTTCCTCCATCCCTCAATGTTTGTCCTCCAGTTCACTGAACACCAGTTTGCTCCCAGCCTGGTGAGGTGCCCCAATTCCTTGCATCCCTGGATTTCACCCAGCAGCAGGAGAGCCCAGGATGGGCAGAGCAGGGCTCCCAGGGAGTTAGCAGGCAGAGAACAGCCAGCTGCCCATGCTGCACAAGGTTAAGCAGAAGCAGATGAAGACAAGTCATGAGCGCTGGGTGAGGGAGACACAGAGAAGCAGCCACAAGCCAGGACAATTCAAGACCTGAGCAAAAAAAAAAGCCAAACCCAGGAGCTGAAGCAGAGTTGCAGTCTGAACTAAAATCTCATGCCAAGGCAGGGTCAGAGACTCACACCCTGCAAAGGCTATGGGGGAGTTTGCAAGGGTTTCCTCTCTGAGATGGGAGAGGAGGAGATGGGAAGGGGCTTCCTGGCCTCTCTTTCCCTGGCTTTCTGTGGGAGGCATCCTGAGTTACTCTGGTTTTAAACCTTTTGGGGATTCATGACTCAATCATGACTATAAATAGGGCCAGGGCTCCAGTCCACTGACATCTCATAGGTCAGAGGATTCTCCCCAGGGATATGGAGGCAGGGAACAGCACCAGGCCAGCAGCAGCCTCCCTCCTCATCCAAGGGGAGTTGGGCACCTACAGAGTCAGCATGGGGAGGAGCTCAGCAGGGATCCCCAAACATTCAGTGCCCTTTACTACAAGACACAGGTGGGAAGCAAACACACCTCATGCCCTGGGTGTTTGGCAGCTGAAAGCCACCTTGCCCATGGTTGGTGCCATCCCTGTGGCTTGTGGCTGCAGTAAAGCAGTGGCCACCCTGTCCTGCAGAGTGCCATGGCCCTGGGCTCCACCCCTCCTGCTACTTCTCCTCCCTCAGCCCAGGACGACTACCGTGCTGCAGAAGATGAGAAGCAAACAAATAATAACACCTCTCCCACCTCCCCCAAAAAAAGGCCAAACTTACCAGCTTCCAAAAGAAGCACCATGCTGAACAGGACAGGACAGGACAGGACAGGACAGCAAAGCCACTGGGTGGGGGAAGGTTAGCAAAAGACAGGGAGGAGAAAGAAGCCCCATGCTGTATGGAGAGGGGAGCGAGCAGGCAAGCTGGGGTTATGTGATGGCAATGCAGGGGGTGGACAGGGACAGATGCCAATGGACAGCTCTCCCAAAATGCAGCCTCCCCCAGCTCTGTCCACCCACCTATTTTTGGAGGGCTACTAGTGGAGATGTTTGAAATAGGCCAAGGTCTGTCAACACAGTCATTAAACCTCTGCAGCTGCTTCCTGCCCTCGCGTGCTCCAGAGTTGTCATCACCAGCACTGCCTCATTCAAAATTCAAACTTCAGCACAGTTGTCCCTCAAGCCACAGCTGCATGCCACTTTCCATTCAGGATGCCTTGTAGAGCAGGGAAAGGTCTCTTCTCTCTGACATTCCCTAGAACCAGGGTCTACCCTGCCTTGCTGAAATTCCAGGGTGCAAGCCCAGATTTTTTCCATGCCCTATAACCAAGAGGCACTCTGAACCCAGCTGGGGAGGTGGCAGGTTTCCTTTGCTAAATTACCACAAAAAAAAAGGCTGGGCTTGATATTTACAGCCATCTAATTCCCCTTGCATGAATTCCAATTTGCAGTTGAGCCTTAGGCTTAAATGCAGTCTGTATTCAAACAGTGTCACCTCAACCCATCCGTGGCTGGCCAGGAGGTGAGAGAGGATTGAGAAGCAGGAGGAGAGTTTGCTCCTTGAAAGGGTTACCTGGCTATGGGGACTGAGCCCATTAGCCAGGGAAGCTGGGCAGCTGTCCTTATCTTCCCTGCATTCTTCCAGAGGCTGACAGTGGTCTGGGGGATCTCCTGCTCCATCCAGGAGTGCCCCTGCCAACAGCAGTTTGGTGTCATTCATCAGACCCTGTTCAGTGGGTCTGCCATGGGGCAGCTTCTGGCTCTTCCTCAATCCCAGACAGAGGACAGAGAGGAGAGACCTTTCTAGAGCCTGTCAGATGGGATCTGCTCTCCTTTCTCCCACCAACACACCTAGCCAAGAATGACAAAGAGAGAACACAGAGAGCTCAACCCCTTGACAGCACTGAGGCCAAGCAAGGCTTGGCTGGGACCTGCTTTGTCTCATGGAAAGAGAGAACTGAAAGCAGAGACCCAAGGGGGGCATTTCTCCTATTGTTTTCTCTTTTATTAGGAGTGGAGCCTTGCTGCAGTGTCAACACTCAGCAGAGTCCCGGCCATACTCATTTCTAACAGAAAAAAATCCCCACTAACCTCTTTCAACCTTAAGGGAGGTTTGAAGAACATCTGGCAGAAACCACACTCCAAGCCATCCATGAGTGCAGGCACACTGGGGAGCTCCTCCTCTCTCCTCCACAGGAGCTGCCCAGCCAGGACAGCAGCACCTCTCAGTCTGTGTCACACCCACACACCTCAGCCCTGTCAGAGCAGGGGCAGCTGCACCACCACGACTCACATTTCCTGAGCTCCAGCTTTGCACTGTGGCAGCTACAGCTGGCAACAGATGGCCAAAAGCCTCAGGTGCAGAAGACAAGGATTTGGGAATAAGCTGTGCTGGCTGGACCAAGGGCTGCATCCTTCCCCTGCACTCTTCCCCTTCCTGCCCAGGCTGTTTTTCTCCCCCAGGGGGGCAAAGGCTACGTGCTTCTGCCCCAGAAGGACTTGTGACCCACCAGGTGTGATCAAGCACAGCCACCAGCCCAGCAGATGCATTTGCCAACAGGGTTTATTGTCCTCCTCCCTCAGTGAGCACTCTAATTTTTAAGGCTGAAGTCACCAGAAGCAGGAAGTTGCATCACTCGGTGAAGGTCACATTCCTTCCCCTTTTAGTCCAGATTTAGCACCAGTTGGAAGCCACAAGACTCAAGTGAATTGTAGGCAGGACAACCACAGCTTCTGCAGGGATGCAGGTTAAAACAGAAGTGTTTTTTTTGCTGAAATAACCAAATCTATTGCATGCCTGTACTCTCCTGTCTGAAGTCCTACAGCTCCTCCTGGAACAGGCAAGGAGTATTTTCAATGGCATCTTCAAAATCAAGGAGTCCCAATATTCAAACTTGTGAACTACACAACAAGCAGCCTCTGAGGACCCATTTGCATTTTTGGGATGTTTCTTACCAACTGCTTCATGTGGGAAACTGCTGGTCCATGGGAAAGCTGGAGGAGTGACAGGGCTAAAAGTGAACACTAAACCTGTCTCAGTTTTGATAACACACCTTAGGACTAAGCACCCACTCTGCAGCAGCCCCAGTTTCCCAAATCAGTACAAAGTGGGATGTCCAGCTTCAGGCATCCGAGATGGAAGAGGTGATGAGAGGCCCTCATCTGCCCTGGAGTGCTCATGGAAAATGAGATGAAGGCAGAGGGGAGTGGACTCATTAATCTGTTATGAGGAGGGAAGGGGAGGGAGGTGGGACAGGCAACCAACTGGAAAATAACCCAAAAGCAAAATAACCCAAGACACGAGCAGGTGTTATGAGTGGTACCACTACCTCTAAGCAGCAGCGTGTCCTTACCAAAAAGATTTGCAAGAATGTTTGTGGCCGAGGACCTAAGGTACTCGCTACAGAGATGTGAGATCAGAGGTCAGCTCAATCCTGCAACATAAAGGTGGCAAACCCGGGTCACAGCAGGTCAGCAGCACGGTCAGGGTGCATGGAGAGGGGAGAAGGGTGGAAGGGCAAGGAGAAGGATGCAGGACAAGGCTGAGGTGCTGTGCTCAGCTCGCCCAGCTTACCTGGCAGCAGCCCTGCCCCCTTGCACCACCTGCGAGGCCTGCAATGAAAAGCTGCTGATGCCGAAGATTTGAGGGGGGGAAAAGTAAGCCAGCGACAAAGCAAGACAAAAAAAAAAAAATTCACAAAGCTGCCTTAAAGAAATGAACAACATAAATATGGAAGAGAAGGAAATAAAGGAGCAGTAGGAAAAACACATCTGCCAGTGGCCATCAGTGGGGAAGGCTGCTGAGAGCCTCCAAAGGACACAAAGTCCATCAGTTCTGGGTGCACTGTCCTGCCCTGGGACTGGTCTAGACAGACAAGAGCAGCAGTGCCTGAGCAGTGCCCTGTGCCCAGGACAGGTTCATCACCCCCTGGAGCCTCTTTTACAGTCCTGAGTACAAAACCCCCATCCCACTGCTGTCCTCAGGCAATGCCCCCTCAGTGTCCCCAGATGACAAGGACATTTTTTGCCACACAGGACTCCTGGCCATGAAAACCTGAGCTGTAATTGCTCAGCTGGTTTGGATGGAGCTGCTGGTGCAAAGGGTTTGAATTTGCCAGCTGCAGGTAGATTTTTGCATTGGTGTTTAGCAGGATCCTGAAAAGCAAATCCCATCTAGCCCCATGGGTGTCCCTGACATTCACTCAGTTCATCCCCCCACCACCCTCCCCAAGTGAAAAACACAGTGACACTCACAGCCCTGCTCAGCAGTGTACAGGGTGGGGGCTTCAGGCACAACAAAGATACATGGAAAAGAAGAAAGCAAACATTTTTTTCCTAATGCCACCAGTGAGGAATCAACCCCAGAGGAAACCAGAGCTCATTTCTATTGCTGACCCCAGAGCAGGGCACATCTCTGGATTTACTCTGCCTACCTCAGTGTCCTGCTCACCTCACACAGATAAACCTCAGCCAGCCCAGCTGGTGGCATCACAAAGATGCTGCCCAAGAGCCTCAAGGCAAGGTTTTCCAGCAGGAGATGCCTGAGCCAGTGGTGAAGTGTGATCCCCCCATCCCTGCCTTCCTTGCTGTGCTCAAGTTTCTGCTTGGTTCTTTACACCAGGCCAGCTGTGGTGGTAGTTAGACCACGATTCGACAGGCAAGGGGTGACAAATGCCCCTAAATCACTCCCTGCAGACCTCTGGGTGGAGAATTGAGTCTCACAGCCCTTGGGACAGCAGTGGAGAGAACACCATCTCCCAGGCTCGAGACCACAGGGAAATCAGTTCCTTGGAGCTCACCTTCAGGGAAGGGGTGTGAGCTGCAGACACTTGTGAGGGAGCAGAGCCCTCAGCTGTAGGGTTATTCCTTGTATAGGCTGGGGAATCTCAAAGAAAGCTTGTTTTAAGTGACAGGACAGGTTCAACCTTTCTTCATGCAGAGCTCAGGGGGATACTTCAGCAAAAAGTGCAAGATGGACAATTCCCCATCTCTACCAGGCACACTGCTTGGTAAATGCCCATCACGTCCAGCTGAGGAGTCAGCCCTGGGCATGGACACTGCAGGGTCAGCCCCATCTCAGTGAGCTCCTCACACCCCCCCACTGAGCCCCAGTGTTTGTGAGCTATGCCCATGTCCTCGGTTGGGACACCATCCACAGGGCCAAGGCAGGGGAAGTGACCAAAGATCAGCTCCAACAGAGAGGTCAGCACACAACTAATGGGATCAGGGCAAATACACCAGCTGCATCTGCTGGAAAATTTGGTCTAAGCATCCAGAGGAGCTCCAAAGGTGTTTAGGGCCACAGTGCATCCATCTCCTAAATCAGTGTGACTTTATTTGTTCCCATATCTTCCTGGGTGGAGAGGTCTGGAACTCTGGAGCAGTGAGATGCTGAGGGCAGTGTGGGGACAGAGAGGTCTGAGCACACCCAGCCTGCTCCAAGGGCGTGTCAGCCAGGTGGGCTTGGGCAAGAAGAAAAAGGAAGCTCAACTTACCTTTGTTCTTCCTCTAGTTCTTCTTTGGACATCATTGACTTGTACTGGTTTCCCCTTAGTTTTCCAGGACTGTATTTAAAAGAAAATGTCTCATCTGCAGCTGGAGAGGGGAGACAAAAAAGAGCAAGAGATCTGTGAACCAGAGACCTCCTGAGAGCCATAACTAACAGCACGGGGCTGTTCCCTTGGGGTGCTCTCTGACCTCTGCTCCTGCACCCCAAATGCTCTGGCCACCCCAGCACATTTCCTGAGTCAGCTCCAGTCTCCAGAAAGCCTGGGCACTGTCAGAGGGCAGTGTGGGTCCCAGAGGAGAGGCAAGGTTCTGCTGGCCTGGGGATGGCAGGAGCCCGGCCACAGCCAGCACTGGGAGCAGCGAGGAGCAGCCTGCTGGAAGCAGATCTGAGTAAATCCTACAGCACAGGAACCATATGCCATTGTTCTCCCTGGATTCAAAGCCTTGCAGGCCCATCTTGGCTTATCAGGACATGCTAATCCTGCCCTGATTAACTCGCAGCATTTTCCGCTTCTCCTCTCCAGACTTGCATTCCTTCTCTCCCCCACTCCCTGACCTCTCCTCATCCAGGGGCCCTTTCCCAAGCTGGGGGCTCATGGATGGTGCCACAAGCAGAGCTGTCCCAGGCCACACAGCCCTTGACAAAGCTTGTGAAAAGATGCCACATGGCAAATCCCAGGGCTGCGAACAGCCCTGAGCCAAGGCAGCCCCAGGAGCTCCAACACAGCCGGGTCCAAGTGCCCCTGTCACCAGCCCAAGGTCTCCTTCTCCTGGGTGCTCTCCCACCCGGCTCACCAGCCTCAGCCCTGTGCTAATTAGAGCACCAAAGCTCAGAGTCTGAGCCAAAGCCGATCCTTTTCCAATCGGATTTTGTTCGAGCACTGTTTGCTTTTAAAAACCTCTCCCATGCTTTATCTTCCTACAGATGGGAGAAAACAACAGGAGGAGAGGTCAATCCTAAAGGTGGCCCAGGAGGAGCTGCTGCTCTGGGTAGTCCCCTTTTGTGGTTATCTGTGAGCTGCTTATCTGACAGCCTTTATCTCCCAAGGACTGCAGGGCTTGGCTGCTCACATCACATCCAACCACCCAGCACTGCAGTTTCCACATTCCCAGAAACATCTGCTGCTTCCCCCGACCCTCAGAGCCCTGGGGGTGCTTCCAAGGGGTGCACAAAAGGAAGATGTTACTTCATTATCAGCATGGCCCTGAAAAAATGCACATCCTCCACACACCAGTGTCCAGGATGGCACCAACCAGTCCCAGCCCGACCCTTAAAGGTGTGAAACTGCCCTGGCAGGAGACAAAGCCCCAGCTTGTACATAACACATGGATGCATCCTCTGTCCCCAGGAACACAGCAAACCCCTTCCCATACTCTCCACTGCTGTTGTGGCCATATTCATGATTGTGTCTCCTGCTCCACCTGCCCAAATAAAAAACTCCTCACAGCCCCTCCCCTCCCTTCCTCACACACAGGATTCAGTATCAGCTTCCCTCTGTTTTCCAATCAATACTGCCCCTTAAGGATTTTTCTCATCGTGTCCAATACTTTGATTTTGGGATTTCTCCAACCCCGAGCTTGTGCCCACATTCAGCTGCTGCCAGACCTTGGGGACCCCCTCGTAAAAGGTGAGTCAGAGCCTGATTTTGTAGGTGGAGAAACCAGAGAGCTCAGAAACAAGCAGAGCAAGGCTTCACTGGAGTGACTGTGCCTGGAGCAATGGGAGTGGGATGGGAATTTCACGGAGACCTGTCCCCTGCTAGTGCCCACACTCCCTCATCCCTCTACATCTCCAGGTTCCCAATCTTGGGGAGCTTCCTGGTGGATTGCTGCTCAATTACTGATCTGGAGTATTTCTCTAATCCCTAAATGCCATCGGGGCTCCCAGGGGATGCAAACCCTTTATCCAGCTTTGTCACAAATGTCTGAACACAAGCAGCCCAAAGCTCTGGTCTGCAGCCCCAAACATTCAGCTTGGCCATGTTCCACTTCCCAGTGGGAAACCCTCCCCATGGGCAAACAAACAAACAAACCTGGCCAGCTGGAAACAAGCAGTAATGCTGCAGCTTATCAGCACTTTGGGTGACCATAATAGTGCATGGAAAAAAAAATTCAGCTGGCTGCTGTTTTGGGAAATATTAGGAGAGAGAAAAAGAAATTAAAAAGAGGGTGTAACATCCTGTTCCTTATGCTGGTGCAGAGCAGGAGCTGTTCATTACCTTTGTAAAGCTTGACTGATTTCAAGGACAATTGTTTCCCTCACGTGGTTTTCTGCCAAATCAAGTGAGATTTGGGATTTAGACTGGCCCAAAAAGCAGTTTAGTTGCCACCTCACCAGAAAAGAAGGGAGGATGGAGGCAAGGAAGGTGCCAGTCTCCTTGCTCACATGGTGTGATTAAAAAAAAGGAGATAGTGTGTGGTTTTGGAAACCTCTGGCTGTTTTTTGAGCTCAGGAACTTTCTTTGCAGATCGAAAACAAACTTCAGGAAACACACAGAAAAGGGGAGGCTGGGTTTTCATGTAGACAGGGAAAACACTACAGGAATAGGAGGTGACCTACTTACTGAGAGCCTCCATGAGTTCATATTAAAGAAAACATTTGTCTTTCATCTCTCTGCCCTTGCATTGCCAGTGCTGTGACCCTGAGCTGGCAGGGTGAGAGCAGCCCCAAGAGAGCACCTCTGCTCTGAACATGCTGGCTCTGGTGTGATCCACATTATCCCTGCCTCAAGTGCAGGGAAGGCTGTTCCAGTGGTTTTGGTCACAGGGCAGCATCCCAGGCCGGTGACAGATGCCTGCAGGATCCCCACATGCCCCAGGGGAATCTCTGCTCGTGGGTTGGGGCCAGGACACTCGGGAGACAGTGAAGGAAGGAGCAGGGCTGATCCCAGGGCACTGCTGGTATTCCCTGCTGCCTCCCACTGTCTCCCCATCAGCCTGGGCCATTGCTTTGCCCAGCCCCATTATAAAATACTGCAGAAAATGGGAATAATTCAGGAGAGGAGCCAGGGGCTGCCTGCAGGAGGTGCTGAGGGAGGACTCAGTGCTAGCCAGGACTCACAGCCAGGGGCCATCACTTTCTCCCAATCCCAAGTCACAGCCACTTTGGAATGATGCCCTGCAGTGCCAGGGCAGCCCTGAAACAGAGCTGAGCCCACAGAAGCAGAGCAGCGTTACTGAGCATCCATTTGGCAGGATACACCCATCAATCCTCAAAGCAGAGCTCCCACAGCCCCCCAGGGTGCCATCCCCGGCCACCAGTGCTGCAAGGAAGCCTAACGGGGTGGGATGAGGGTATTTTGGGAACCCTGTCTCCAAAGATGCTTCCCCCGCCTTGCAGGAATGGCCCCAGGATTAAAATTTGATTCTCTGTGGCATTAGGCATAATCCTCCCGAGCCAGGGGATTGCCACACAGCACCTTCAAACAGCCAGGCAGAAAGTGGGGCAGGGAAGGGAGAACACCCCAAGGCCTCCTGCTGCCCCAGCTGTCCCCAGTCACCCCAAGCCAGGACTCCTGGGGACATCCCAGCATCTCCAGGGCTGCCCAGGAGAGCAGAGTCCCCTTCAGACGCACATTTCAGCACCATCTGTTTCATTTTCTTTGGAGCGCAGCAGTTGTCACCCCAATTAGTCAATTAATAATTTTCCAATCAACTAATTGGCTAATCAGTTAAACGTGGCTCTGACTAAAGCCCCTGGAGATTGTCCTGGATGTGAGCAAGGAGCTTTTGGAGCAGCTGCATCACAAAGCTACCCCATGGCAAACAGCCCAAGGGCATGTGGGGATGGGGTAGGAATTTCCTGGAGGAAGGAGACCATCCCCAAGCACGCAGGGCTCCAGACCTGTCCACAATCTCTCTGCAGAGTTCTGGCTTGCTTGGCACTCACCATCTTCATCCTCTGGCTCTCTCACCACCAGCTTCTCATTTTCTGAGTCCACCTCTTCCTCCTGGAGGAGTTAAAAACAGAACAGCCATGAGGAGAAGGTGCTGTGCTGAATAATTCACGTTTGGTTGGGATCTCAGGGCTGGGATGCAGAGCCTGGAGCTCCAGTGAGAGGGCTGGGCACCCCTTCCCTGCTTTCTCCAAGGAACAGGACAAAAGGCTGCTCACTAATAATTGATGTTTATTAGTCTGCTTTCCTCTCACTAGTCAGTCACAGTGACCTGGCCCACCCAAAGGCTGTGAAATGCAAGTATCTCCCCATAATCAGAGATATTAAGGTTTTTAAGAAGAGCTTTGTGCCTGAGCAGCCTCCTGCCAGCTGCACCCCTGCCACCCCTACTGCCCAGGGACAGGCAGGGGACTGAGCCAAGAGCCACGGGGACTTCTGTGTGCCCCCAGGCCAGGCTTGGACAGACTGTCCTGGATTAGGAACAGGTGGATCCCCAGCTAAAGCCACCTCGCAGCTGCCCTGAAGCACAGGAGCATTCATCAGTGGGGCCTGGGGGCTGAAGGCAGCACTGAGACCCCTCCAGGAGCCATCCACAGCTGGTGTCTGGAGCACAGGCAGGAACAGCAACAGCACATTTTGGTTTTTTTAAAGGCAAAGCAATTTTGGAAGTTTTGGGGTTCCCTCATAAAGCCCAGATTCCTTGTTCTGTACAGAAATTCCAAGCAGGGGGAGTGGGGAGCATTCCAGCTCTGGAGATAAGACAAGGACACATTGCAGAGCCCCTGCATGAGTGATTTCCTCCAGCCCTGTGCAAACCCTGGCCCCGTGCATCCCACGCGTGGCAAAAGGGCAAAGCACCTGGCAGGAAGGGGAGGAGCATGGAGGGAGGCTGCCAAGCCCCTCATTGTCAAGGGACACACGGGAAAAGCTGGGGTGAAGGAGATCCAAGGGGAAGGATGCTGACCCAAGAAGGACCAAGCACAGAGTCGAGGGCTGGCTGTGCAGTGCAGAGCTTTGGAGGAGCTGCTGGAGCACAGCCCCGGCACAAAACTGGGTTAGTTTGTCATCAGGGAGGAATGTGCATTATTCACAGCCACTTGGCTTCCTCTGGCCACTCTGTTCCCCAGAAGGAGATGCCACTGGGACCCCCACCCGCTGCAGCCACGGCTATTTTGGACCACGCTTCCAAACATGGGCACTTCCCATTGGACACACAGACTTCCCCTGAGGATGCCTGGGGAGGCTCCCAAAGGAGTGGCCTCGGGGAGGGCACCAGTCCCCATCACATCCACCTCTCCCTGTGAGCTGGGACATCCCCTGGGAGACCCAACTCTCCAGGAGCAGACACAAGGAGGGAGATTTTAGCTTGTTCCTTGCCTGGGCATTAGGAACTGAGCACTTAACAATGAGAGCAAGCAGGAAATTTGGGTGGCAAACCTCCAAGGAAGGAAAAGAGATCTGCTCCAGCACAGAGGAAGAGACATTTGATGGGAGCAGAGAGGGAGCAGGCAGGGATGCCAGGCTGGCAGACGACAGCAGCGTGCCGGGGCCATCTGGGAACCCCTGCTCGTGGCAGCCAGGAGCTCCCTACAGCACAACTTTTCTGCTTGGATGCCTTGGAGGCAGATGCCAGCACCTCCCTTCCCCCCAGGCTGTGGCCCCAGACTCCACATCCCCGTCCCTCTGCCTTCCTGGGGCTGCTCCCTCTCTGCTCCCATCAAACGTGCCCCACTGACCCCCATCCCTGGAGGTGCCAACCTGCACCTGGAACACCATTTCTTTCGGGTTTAAATGGGCTGAGTCATTAAGAGGCTACCAACCCCATCAGGGGAGAACAGCAGGTGGGCTTTGTCCCCCTCCCCATGCCACTGCCACCCTGGGACAATGTCCCACCCGTGCAGGGGCACTGGCACACTGTGTTCCGTGTCACCCTCCCTCCCACACACCTCTGCATGGCTGGAAAGTGCTGCGTGGCCACTCGTGTCCTCTGCTTGTCCTGTGTGCCCGAGGCTGGATCCAGGCGAGGCACCCACCGGTGGTATCTGCAAAAGGGCAAAAGCTTTGAGAACAAACACCCCTGAGCCCTCGCTGTGCTCAGCCAACCAGCCCTGGCAGCTTCAGACAAATCCTGAACGTGGCCAATAGCCCACATTGCCCCATGCCCGAGCCTGTGCTGCTTCTGATCCGTGTGCCAAGCCATGACAAGGCTGGAGGGAGGAACACCAGAGACCTCCAATGCCCAGCCCTGCAGCCAGGATTTGGAGCTCACGATTAGGAGCTCTTTGTGGCAGCCCCAGCCCGTGGGATGGGAGCAGTGCAAGGAGCATCGGCGAGGGGGGCTGGCCGTGCCAGCACCGGGCTGGGCTGCCCGTGTGTCCTGGCAGGGCTCAGGCAGCTTCCCAGGATGCTGATGCAGCAGCTCAGGACGAGCAGGAAGGGAGAGGACATGCTCAGTTTGTTAATGCTCTGCCAGCTGCCTTCTCCATCACAGGCAGATACCCCCTGGAAACCTCCCCATCCCATCCTGCAATCCTGGGGCTGGGGCTTCCCATCCCTCTCAGCCCCATAGCAGCTGTGGATGGCCTCGACCCCCGTGCACAGCCAGCTTTCCCTGTCCGAAACCTTCACAGATTAAAGTTTCCCTGCCGTGCCTGCAGGGCTGTGGAGGAGGATCTGCGTGGGCAGGGAGCAGGGACACCGTGTCCCTTGGCCTTGCAGTGAAATACCAGCTGCTGGGAGCAGCCTCTGGGCTGGCTGGAAATGCCAGCAGGGACAAAGCCCCACCTGGAGCCTGGCTGTGCCTACAGTCCCTGCGAGCCAGAGAGGAGGGGAGAGCCCTCCTGCCTGGAGCAGCCCCGAATTTCAGAGCTCTCAGCCCTGCCACAGCCAGTGGGTGCTGCCATCCTGCAGCCAAAGCAGGGAGGGGGAAGGCGTTGGGACAACACTGGGAGATTTGGGCACCACAGAGGACACCATGGCACCCCAGGAGCTGTTCTTCTGTAGGAAGCACAGCCCAGGGAGAATGCAGGGAGCGTTTAGAGCAGCTGGGAGTGAGGAAGGAACAACTGGAGAAGAAAGAACCTGAGCGCTCTGTGCAACAGCCCACAAATCAGCATCTCTGGTACACGGCGGCCACGAAAACCTCCCCGCAGGAGAGAAAAAAAGAAAAAAAAAAAAAAAAAGGCGAGAAGCAGCGCTGCAGGGAGCCGTGCACGTCATTATCCAGGAGCATCTGGAGGAGACTTGACACGGGCCGGCCCGAGCAGCTGCTGCGGCAAACAAAGATCTCATTGCCGAGCCGAGGGGACGCAGCTGCCGGGCCCCGGGGCCACCAGGGCTGGGAGCGCTCCCTGCCCATCCTGCACGGACCCAGCCCAGCCGCAGCACAACTGAATCATACCTGGGCACAGCTTGCCCGGGGCTCCGGAAAGCCCAGGGTTAAAATCCAGCAAGTCATGCACCTTAAATAACAAGGCAGCGATCCATCTGCCTGGCAGCTCCTGGCTGCAGAGCCGGAGCATTTGTTGGATCATCACAAATGTGCTGTTGCCCTTTAGCTCCACGGCCACGAGCGTGAAGCTGGCTCTGGCAGCGAGGTTTGGACCAAAGCAGAGCAAGGACAAGGCTTCAGGGACATTTTGGACACAGCCAGCACTTCCCATTGACAGCCCTGAGTCTCCCAGGGGAGGACGGCTCAGATTTGGCATCGTGACCCCGAAATGTCCTCTCAAGGCTCTGCCACCACTGAACCCTCTCCCAGCCCATGGGAGATGGGAGCCAGGCTTTCCACTACAGCATCATCTGGTTTTCAGCTCATTTCTGGCCATTTCCTCCCCACTTCCTCCATCCCCAGTGCAAACCCCTCTGAGCAATGGGCTTCTTTCTCAGAAAGGACAAGAGGAGATTTTGGGGGTGGTGTGTCCCTCACCCTTTCTTCAGGAACTGCCCTGACACTTATGGGCAGGCTGGGGACAAATAAGTGCTCTGCTCCAGCTTCAGGAAAAAGGAAGATCCCAGGCTGCAAAGCAAGGGGAGAAAATTATCTTGGATTAAACTCCTGGGCCCTGTGTGTTGCCATTTATGGCTGCACTTTCTGCTCCAAGCCTGATGCAAGACTTTGCAAGAAAGAAAGAAAGCAGACAGGAGAGAGCCAGCCAGAAGGAGAAGAGCCAGAAGAAAAGGGGAAGGAAGAAACCTAAACAAAAAAAAAAGACTAAATAATAATAATGTTGGGCAGAGTTTAGCAGTGCAAAGCAGCTGCTCTATCAGAAGCTCCCCTTCACCCACCACTGGGGCTCTCCATCCTCCCACTGGCCAGAGAAGCAGCTGCAGAACAAGAGCACTTTTCCAGCCCTGGTGATGGTCCTGCCAGCTCTGGGGTGCCTGGAGAGGATGTCCCTCATGTGGACGGACACATGAGCCTCATGAGCCCCACAAAGTGTGGGAGCATCTGCTCCTGCCACTTCCCCTGTCACTGGGAAAGGACAAGTGACAGAGTGAGCAGATAATTTCTGAAGCTCCGGGACCATCCAACCCTTAATGAGGATCAGGCAGTGCCAGGGCTGGTGAGGAAAACACTGGTGTGTCTCACACAGGGTGAGGAGCCCAGCTCAGCAGCACCCATCCCTGCAGGAGCCATCACATCCCAGCCTGGCTCCCCCAGGATCACATCCAGCCAGCTCATTCCTTTTTTGCTACAGCCCCTGGAAAGCAAACACCACACTCCAGGAGGTCCCTTGATGCCCAGATGAGATGGGTGGCATCCTTGGGAGCAGTGGCAGGCAAAGCTGGCCCTCCCCTGGCAGCCCTTCACACAAGTGGGCACTTCAGAGGGCAAAGAGTCCTCGTGGCCTCTGCTCCAGCTCCCAGGCTTTGCCCAGCCCACAGAGCCCCGGGCAGCAGCCCAACCTCCTGGAGCCGTGTAGGGAACACAAGGCAGACCCCAATGCCACCGTGCCCCACCCCACGTGCCAGAACCAGCCCTGTGGCTGGGACTGAGGGCGGGCACGACACGTGCCCAGGCTCCCTGAGGGGTGACACACGTCCTGTCTCACTCCCCAGTTTCCAGCCACTGCAAGAGATGATGCATTTGTCCCTGGCACAGGCTGCTCTGGGTGAGAGCTGGGCACATCTGAGCAGTCAGGGATGTGGGTGGGGAGCCCTGCATTCCCTGGCAGTGCTGCTGCCAAGGCTGTGACGGGGTAGCACATCACCTCATCCCTCCTCAGTGCACTGTGGGACACTGGAGCTCCTGCCCCAGCCCGCTGGCGGTGCAGACACAGCCTGAACAGCTGCCAATTACAGCCAGACTTAATTAGACACCCTCTCCACTCCAGCCCAGGGAGGGCAGGCAGGAGGTATTAGAGAAGGAATGATGACTTTTTAAATGTAAAGAGGGCTCCTGGTGGGAGCTGGGTGGTTTGTGCTGCCTGGTGTGTCCAGAAGCACCGGGAGCCCCCCAGATTGGGGTGGGGGGCACAGGGAAAATGCACCAGGAGCTTGGCAGAAGCCTCTGTGCCTCTGCTATCCAGGTGACAACCTCACAGGCTGCCCTGTTCAGGAAGAGTTTTCATGTCCCCTCTCCCCACTGTCACACATTGCCCCTGCTCTGTTTGAAACTCAGCTGCAATTAACCCTTGGCAAACCAGCCAGGCTGCTGTGATGGCACTGCCCATTCACCCTCCCCATCTTCAGAATATTTTGGCCAGGATGGCATCCCGGCAGTGGCTCTGGTCCAACACTGAAAACCCTGCCTGGTCCCTGCCACCTGCCACTTCCAGGACAGAATGGCTCATTAGAGAGTTGAAGTTTCTGACCGTTTCTCACAAGAACCACGCTCCACAGCCCCAGCGTCGCTGCCGTTCCCACCCAGCAGCTTTTCATTAGGGGATTGCTTTGACAGCACTGCCTCATCCATTAACGAGCTGGGGATGGGGATGAGAACAGACAACGACAGACTAATTAAGCTTTTTTTTTCAGTGATGGGAGCCAGCAGAGACAAGGGGAACCACTACCAGCAGTTAAGGGAAACAAGGACTCCTGGGCTCCTTTCCCTGCTCTGCCACTGGTTCATTTTGTAGCTTCGAGCACGATGCTGCAATGAACTGGTCACGGCAGAGAGGGGCAGGGAGGCTTCAATTTTAGCGATTTTTCCTGCCCCTGTGGATCCCAGTTTGCTCAGGCAGGGAGCAGGGAAGGAGGAGACAGAGGGATGCACGGCTCCAGCCCATCATTAACACACCGAGCCTGCTCTCCCTGGGCGGGTTCATCCATCAGCATTTTGGTCGAGTGGTTAATGGCTGCGGGCAATCCGAGCCAGCCTGGCACAGTGCGTGCTAAGCAAACAGGAGGGGGAGAAAATAAGGCAAGAAAATAAATAAGGAAAGAAAGGTCTCCGAGTGCCGAGCACAGCCCTCTCCCTGCTGATGTACTGAGAAGCCCTGAGCCTGCAGGAGCCAGCAGCGGGACAGGGTCTGGAGCCTCGGGGAGCCTCGTCTGATGAGTCACATCGGGGACCGCAGCCCTCGGCCGAGCCAAGTCAGGCTGCAAAGGGAACGATTCCATCAGCAGCACTCGCTGCTCGGCCCAGGGCTCGTCCCATCCCTGCCTGGAATAACTGCTGGGCTTGGGTCTGAGTGGTGCTGGAGGAGGGCAAGGATGAAGCAACTTTGAGGATGTTCGTGGGGAGCAAAACCAGGGAATCAAGGGAGATTCTGCAGAGCTGTGGATGGGCTCTCCCACTCTGGCCACAGGACCAAGCCTTGGCTCAGCAGACTGGGCAGTGCCACACGTGTGTGGTGCCTGCTCGAAGTGCACGTAGTCCCTCGGCTGTGCCACCCAGCCTGGTGCTGGCAGCCATGGGGTCATGCACGGGCCACAGCTCCCAAACACTTACTCAGCAGGGAGAAGCATCACTCCCCCTTCCACTGCCCCCCACCAGCAGCCAGATCACACGTGCCTGGTCCCTGTCCTTCCCAAAGGGATGCTGCTCAGGCCCAGGGTGACTTGTTCTGCCTTGCTCACACCGTGAGGGAACAATTTCCCAGGAGGAAAAGCTGGCCAGGACCCCATGCAGCTCCAGTGCTCCCTTTACTGTAAGAAGGGCTGAGGGCAGTGAGGAGCCCCAGTCCCACAGAGACCAGCCAGGCTTCTGGAAGACACAGAACTCCCCATTTCATTCCAGGCACACAAAATCCTGTTACTGCACCTGTGCTGAGTGGGGATAAAGGAGTTGAACCCTTCTCTGAAGGCAACAGGCATCGCAGCAGTGCCTGTTC